GGCTTCTAGATTTCTCAAGCCTTACTTCAATTTGTTCAAGGAGTTTGCATGAAGATCCAATTCAAAAGCAAAATACTGATCATGGCACCACCCCATGAACTACTAACTGTACCTGCAGGTTTGTAATGGGTTACCTGCTAATGTTAACAAAAATGCTTTGTGCTATTTGCATTGGTATTATGACAGGGATCTGTCAGCTTTTCCAGCCTGTTTAGTACACTCAGTTTTAACGATCACCAGTTTCTGACAGTGTCCTACAACAGAGAGAACACCTGAGCAGTTTTTCTTCTGTTTCACTATTCCCAATTTCCTAAGCTGTAAACATATCCTCACTACTGGAACGGACAAGTGTTCTTCTAAGAGACCTTTTCCAGGTTAGCAGACAGTAAACCACCCTCCTCAAAAGCAAAGTCATTTACTGTATAACCTCATGTCTCCCTGCAGCATTCCCAGCATGAACCAGAAAGCCAATAAAACTGAAGTTTGAAGAAAAAAAACCTCAGTTAGCCATTGATTCTGAGTCTGGAGATAGATATGCTCAGGCTAGTGTTGTATTTCCATGTATTAGCAGGTCTTTTAACACAACAACTACTTACTTGTTAAAAAAGGGTTCGATGAGTTCTGATCTAGCTGACACATGGTTTCTCGGGGGGCTGAGGAATGAACCTGAGGAATGAAGAATAAATTCAGTACATAACAGGCAGCTACAGGCAGCACTGAGGAGAAGGGTTGGAAAAGATCACAGAGATACCTAGGAAATTAGCCATGGAGATGAAGCAGAGTCCAGTGATGTAAGCATCATATCCTGCTTCGTGGAGCTGTTCTGCAGCTGTGTCATAACTTGGAAACCCTTCAGCACTTTCTGAGGAGAATAAGCAGTTTATGAACATGTATTCACAGCAGACAAAGACAGCCCTTAGGCACACACTTCTTTGGTCAGAGCATAACATCGTTTGGGGAAGTGTATGCAATTTTCATTTCAGGAGTCCTTAACAAAGCAGTTTTGTTTGGCACTTTTAAATAAAAACAGGTTCCTGGAACAGAAGCTCCTTCCTATCAGAGAGCCATTAAATCCAGACCTACTCAGCCAAACTGGAGCATTAATTCTAAGACAATGACAGAAGGATTCCCCACACAAAGTAATTTTTTTCGGACTTGCATTTCCAAGAACAGACACCGAGGCTACTTGACAACTTTACCATCACCCTGTTTGCTAAGCATCTGATTGACCTATGGTTAGATTTCCCAAGGTATTTAAATGCTGTAGATGGAACCAAGTGATTAAAAGATGTCTCTACAGACAAACAGACTTGGTGTTTATGTGCAGACCCTGAGAAGTATCCCTTGAATCACCTCTGAAAGTGGAAACCCTAACAGGTACTTCTCTGGGAAGGGCCTGAAAGTGCCCAAGCCTCAGTAACAGGAAACATGTGCACATCAGACCTTTTTCTTCATCATTTCAATTTTCCTCTGCTCCCTACCTCGACCTTAGTTCACCTCTGTAGCCCCTAGAAAGGTGCCTCATTTTGGACCATCCTTACCAACTTTAGGAGGGCTGAATGGAACCTCTTTCAAACGCTTTTCCAGTTCTGCTAGTGATGTATTATTAATGATCTCCTGCAAGAAAAGGCATCGTTAACTGTCAGAGCCAAGCACATTCCCCCTGAAAACTGACATCAAAGAGGATCAAAAGAGCATTTACTGCTGCCACCTCGTGTTCTCTATGGATGTATACACAACCTCACTTCAAACCACTGCAACCAGAGAAGTTTGGCAAGACAAGTTTTAAGAAGTTAACTACCCTCACCTATAACATAACGAGTCATAAGCATTTATTAACATTTTCCAGAATTACTGATGATGAATTATGCCAAAGTAATATTTCCATTTGAATCTGATTCCATGGAGGAAGGGAAAAGGCAGCACAAACAGCAAGGAAAACCATCCTAAGTATTGCTGGTAACACTCACAGACAGTCAAGATGAGTATTGACATGTACTTGCTGACTGGACATTCTTGAATTTTCAAAGTGTAAATGCTGCCAAGGTGATACAAAGACAGTGAAAGAAGCCTGGCAATGAGCAAGTTGCTCCTACACTGCAGCTTAGCTGAGATTTGTGAATCTAAATATGCATGAAATAAAAAGTCACAAAAATATACCCAGATTAATATCTTAGCCAAGTTCTTCATCACATATATATTGTGGGTCAGTGCAAGGGAAACAGGCAGAACCAATAGCAAGAGGGAACAAAACATCTCATACCACCTATCTTAATTTGCCTGTAATCTTTGAGAACCAAAGCTCCTTTGGTTCTAAATCAAGACATCTGTTTTTACTTATCATCAAGTCTGCAGACTGAAAAGTTACCAAGAGCTCAGCACAATGAACAAGCTCAAATGGTGCATTAATTTGGCATCCCAAAGCAGCATCTGGTAACAGTAGCCTCAACCCCAATCTGCTGCAGAATTACAAATGTCAACATAACTGTCCCAAATATCAAAGCTGTGCAGCACTAACAGCTTTCAGAACAGCAGCCTCTGTCCTTGGCACAGGAGTATGCAGGACTGACCTGACAGGACCTGCTAAGTACATTTTAGTAAGACTTTCTGTCATTCAGTGCTCTGGAGCCACAGAGCTATGCAGAAACAGAGATGCTGCTTCATCAGCATGTTCTTAATTAATCCAAAGGCCCCCAGGAAAGCAGGAGAGTATGAACATTTATCTCAGAACTTCTTTAAAGAGATAAAACTTTTGCTGCAAGAGGTTTTAAGAGAAACCTGTGATTTTTTTCTCCTGCTGACCATCCACTGAACATCAGGCCACAATGGAACCTGATGATGAACAAGAATTTTTCGAGACAAATCTAAGTCAGCATTCACAGCATTCTAAAGGTCTGAGTATAACAAGCAGTTTCCAGATACTATTTGTTCATGAACAGCACTTTATTTTTATCCTGAGCAGATATGCTATACTACATGAAGAAAATAATCAACTAATCACATTTTAGTTAGCAAAAACTCTACATGTTTTGGAAATCAAAGCTGCCAAGTTACCTTAAAACTTCAAGCACAAAAGTCACTGGGAGGAAAGTAAAAATCTAAAAAACCTAAATCTAAAAAACATGCTAAAAATTTAGTTTAGATAAGGAGTAAAGAAAAATCATCCTTCTACAAAAAAAGGAGTATCACAGAAATCACTCTTAGACATTTTTCTCTGGAAAGAAATAGCATTTGTTTCAAAATACACTTAATGCAAGTTTTATATTCCAATTATTCTGTAGTATTATCTTAGCTTACCTTAAAAGGCTGTGTACTTGCCATCAGTTTGGTATCCAATAACCTAGAAACAAGGTAAGAGGTAAATAAGTAGAAAAGGAATAATGCCCATTTTGCCAAATCCTCAGGAATATTCTGGTGTATTAGCTGGGAAACAGCAGACAACCCTACTGAAAATCACTGTGGGATCTCAGAACAGCAAAACATTCCTTGGCTTTGTTCAGCATGAGGAAGGACAGCAGCTAAGCAACAGCAAGAGATGCAAACAACGAGAGGCAAATAAATCTTGTTCCAGATGCAATGCAGATTCAAAACAGCAAACATCATGTCCCAACCAAGGGAGCAGCAAAGGTGCAACTTTTGCCAAGGAGCAAACCAACAGCACTGCTTTTCTGAAGAAAACAAAGCTCAGGAATACTTTAAAAACTGTATTTATCTAACCTGATCTCAGTTTGAACTGCTGGGTTACAGGGCTAGGACATACAACATCAACTTGCTAAAACTACACTAAACCAGTTGAAAGTCTGAACGAAGAACTTACCGGGGAAAGACACAGGATGTCACTTCCTTGAACTCACTCAGGTCCTAATTTAACATTAAACCAGAGATAAAATCCAAGTCAGTCAACTGTTTATCAGTCTGTGGGTGACAGATAGCAGTAGCTACAATGATCCAAACAGCTTTGAAAACTGAGATACAGTAAGTGATTCTCACCACGTAAGAGATGTATTTGTCAGCATTACCATAGATACCACCTGCAATTACCCAGTACAGACTAATTATTTCTGATTTGCCTGTGATTAGTAATAAAATGTTTCAGCCCTTCCAATACCCTTGCCTGTTACATAACTTAGACTGCTTTAATTTCAGCTGTGTTTACAGTTCTACTTAAATCTCCCACCATTTAATACTTCAATGCAATACAAACAATCACTGCAGGTACATGTTACTGCCTACAGGTTTAGATCTTCACAGGCACAACTGGCAATTGCTATGTTCCAACACCATCCAAACAGGTCCCCAATTTCTTTTTCCCATCTTATCAAGTGTCTCCCAAAACACTGAGGACTGCAAGCAACATAAGATCATGCAGACAATCCTTCCAGTGAGACCTTTGGCTTCTTCAGACAATGTTCTTAGTGCCAACACACTGCTTAGTTGAACCTAACTGTTAGTCATGAACTGCCAAGATTGCCCTGCTGCAGTCATCAAAGTGTGCTTCCTCTGGTTATTCCAACATTACACCTCTCCACCCCAATGGACATCACCCTGCTACAAGATTTATCATCATTCTGTTAAGTGTACTATATTAGATGCAAATACATATTCCCATTTTGGAAACTACAGGTCAAAAACACCACATAATTATGCTGAAGCTCCAAATCTTAACATGCCAGTCAAATCTACCTGCCATTAGCCAAGCAGTTTTGTGAAGGACTAACAGAGATGAGCAAAACGTGCAGTTCCAATGTTTAATTTGAACATTTTAAAATGTAAAGAAGAATTCAATCCAACTAAGCTTTGTGCATAAGGATTTAAGAAAATTGAACACTACCCCAGAAGTAACAAGTGGCTTTGTTAAATACTTCTCTGTGCTTATTAGACTGACCAATGCTTCCATTCACGAGGACATGTGGAGATAAAAGACAAATACATTATCTGAAGACTCAAAAGCTCACTCACATCAGGCAGAGGACAGTAGAACTGGTGTATGGTATGCATAACATCCAGCAGCATATTGTGCCCAATAACAAGTTTGCCCTGTGAGAAGAACATTAAATGGTTAAAACAGTAAATTCCAGTGGTGGCCATGGCAAAGGCAGCACAGGAAAAACACCTAACCCAGGTGCTAGCCTAGGGCAGCTTGGAACAAGTGCAAATCAAACCTCCCCATTTGCTCTCTCCCTGCCCCACACACTCCTCTGTTTTCTGAGAGCAGTCACTACTCCTCTACTCCCAACCATCCATCACAGCCTTCAGCTTATCTTCCAAAAGTAACAGCAAAAGAATTCTTTCTCTGAATTACTTATTTTTATTTACAAATAAAGGTGTATTCGTCACATAACTTACAGAATTAGCAATGGCATGAACAACTCTGGAAAATCCTACTGCATCATTCAATTCCTCCTGCAAGCAAAGATTGGAACATTAGTGAAACAGAAATACAAATACTGACAAAACTGTACCTGCAAACTGGCAAACACACCTGGTTTGACTCAAACTGTTTCTCACACACATCCAAGAACAGACCACAGAGGAAAGATCAATCTTTGGAAGACACAAGAGGTGAAAGCAAGATGCTGCTGACAGAATTGCAGTGTCATATGCAGCTCTAGTTCACTGTAGAGGAGGCTAAGTCACAAGCTGCTCTAGAGGGTTGCCCCTGGCCAGAAGCCAAACAGCCTCTGCTTTTTGCTCACTCCCCTCACTCAAAATTCCAAAGCAACAAGACTTGTGGGTGAAGATAATCCAAGCCCACCCTCCAGCCTGCTGGCTTTGGGGGGAGGGTGGCAGGGAGAGCCTTGACACTGTGCAAGTGCAGCTCAGCAGACAAAACACATGTATGGTATCACTGCTGGGTCAGCCACAAATGCAAAGCACAGCACAATATGCTACCAAGGGTAACCCAGCCCAGCCAGGGCAGAAACAGCTGCAGTCAGTTCACTGTCAGTACTTATCCTTCAATAGTGCTCAGCAGCTTTTAGACTGCAAACAGCTCCAGATGATGCTAAAATTAACCTACATATCTTCAGCCACATTTTTTACATCTATTGCTACAGATGCAACAGGCTGAATCCTGATTGTTATGCCTATTAAATCAGATTGTACTTTTATGCTAACTTTGAGATTGGGAAAGAAACATCCATCACTATTTACATAAACAAAGCCAAGAAGAAACATACAACCACAACATTATATAATGAGAGTTACACATTCTAAACTGACTCCAATTGCTTTGGGAGGATCTGACTACAACACATTCTTTTTTGGTAACAGATTTTTCTTTTTCAGGTCTATGGAAGTAATTTCTGCCTTGCTTTATCCATCTTTATCCAACCAGAAGTGAAATTCAATAAAAACATTCACTGTTATTCTAGTTCAGTTCTGAATGCTGCTAGTCACAGTGAGTAATACACCCAGGCAATGCTTCAGACAGATCTGCTCTGGTAGTACACTGTCCCTAAGTTGCCTTCTGGAAAAAAAAGAAGCCACATTAGTTAAAGTCTCTGTTAGATACCTCTTTTCCTTTCAAAAAGCATTCCCCAAGTATTATTTGTTCCACCCAACCTGATTTTGTCTTGAAACATGGAAAGACAAATTACTAGAGTCTGAGCAAGAATTCCCACAACTCAAAGTCTTACGACCTCCTGAAACTTGCATCAGACTGTAATCAAAAATACAAAGTCCCATAAACAATGAGAGTGCCTGAATACACCAGGCATGAGCTTCTGGTTGGCTTGTTCCCACAGCACTTGTGTGCAGCATGTTTCTGTCCAGACAAGTCAGATTAATTGTACAGGACATTAACTCAGGCAGCTAAGAGCAATCAGGCTTTTGTACAACAACACTACTCCAAGAAAAGACTGAGTATGTGACAACTTGCTCAATAACTTCTACAAGAAACTGATGTTTCCTATTACTAGGCCACACTTCTCTGACAGAGCAGGTTCATATAAGGAGGAATTCACTGTTCCACAATATTAGTTCAGTATTCCACAGTTTGTCTTCTTTATTTTTTTAAAGTGCCTTACAACTCTTTCTGTTCTATTGCAAAACTGAAGTTACCTGGCAGAATCTGGAAGATCAGTTTCAGCCAGTCACAGCCAAACAAAGGAAACACTACCAAACTCTACCCCACAATTCTTCACTACTGACTGAAGTCAGAGATTCTCCATCTCCCTTTCACCTGAACAAATGAAATGGAACTCACTTACCTGTTCCTTTGCTTGTTTCTGCTGCTCTCTTCTCTTCCGCTCCTCCTCGTCTACCTTACTAACAACAATATATCTCTCTTTCTAAAACAGAAAATGCACAGTTTGAGGAATGACTGAGAAGTTCTTGTTTAAGACCACTACAAGTTTCTGTGAACTTACATTGCAAGGCAAATTGTCATCCCTCAGCAGCAGTTACTTGGCAACACGACTGCTCCTATTGTAAGCACCACTTTATCACCCACTCCCAAAAGCCTTTGTCAGCTTCATCCACCAAACCTAACTTCTCTTTTATTTCTCAGGAAAGGTTATCAGCCTTGCCTTGCAGAGAGTTTGTTTCCAACATCTTTCACAATCAGCATTTCACAAATACTGAACATCTGATCCACTAAATCTTCAAATACCTTTTAGTATCCTTTAAAAAAAAACCACTAAGCCACACAAGCACATGTTAACACTCCATATACTGGTCAGATTTAATGGTTAGAAACTAGTTCATTGCATTCCATTTTACATGTTTTGCATTTGCACAACAAAGCTCAAGTTAGATCTAAAAGTCAGGAGAGTTGGTAAAACTGAGAAATGCAATTTCCTTTCAACAGAACCAATGTCAGAGGCAGTAACAGGCCGAGTTACCTTATCTGACTCCAGGGTTTCAACATGGATCCCTTTGGGATACCTACAGCAAAACAGATGAAATGTTAATTTGGCATTTAGCATATCAAACTCACAACAGTGACTTCATGTTTCATTATTAATGTAAGTCTTAAATGCAAAGAATTTATTAGAAGTTTCTTTTTAATTTAAAATAATGACAAATTTGAAGCAATAAACTAATTTAATTGGTCTCCTTACATTACCTAGCAGCAACTAGTACTAAAATGAATTACCTTATGTAATTTCCCATCCTATTGCTGGGGAACCTCTAACTTCTCATTTCAGTAATACTAAGCAGACATCACCTAGATATTTCATCATGATCTAGGATCTTTGCTTCCAAGAAATCCCAACCCAAAACACAGGTGAGAATGCTCTCCTTTACTTGCAGCCACACCACAGCTGCTTTGGAGACTGCATTCCCTTCATAGGGCACTTATTTTAGCACTTACAAACAACCCTGAGCTTTCTGCTAACAGGACACTCAAATGGGAGTTACTAACTCAACTGTCACTGCCTCTCTCCATCACAACCACATTTAATTTCCAAAGTAATGCCACACACAGAGCCACAGAACATCCAGCTGATAGCAGAGTCAGGGAATGTTGTCTTTTACTGCTTAACCAGTAGCAACTACTCTCATCTTCCCATGACAATAAACTAACCACAACTGTACAACCAGTGCAGACCCAGCATGTTTCCCTGTCCTCTGGCTATTCCTGAAATCAGTGCTGGACAACACCTACCCAAACACTGTTGTGTCCTCTCCACTCTTTCTTCTCACACAATTTTGAGCCTGCACCTCACTTACAAGCTGTCTCATGTCACAAACCTTGGATGCATCAAAACACTGATGAACAAGAGAACACTTTGATAGAGAAAATGACCTGTGAAGAGTTCAGGACACGAGGGAATCAATAACCTCACTGTTTTCTGCTTCAATTATCTCCATGCCAACTTCACATTGGCTTTCTCTCACCAGCAGCCACACACAGTGTACTCAGCTGGATTCAGGTAAAGCAACACTGCTGAGTGTTAAAAAAACACAACTCATGACCACCTTCTTCCACCCACTGAGAGAAAGGCAAGGGGACATGCCAGACAAATATAGCACTGTGCTACTGGAAGCTATAGATACTCTATCCATACCTTAAAAAAATTCACACTGAAAAGTTCTTGGAAGCACCTCTGGCTCTTTTCAGATTAGCTCTTGAGCTCATTTCTGAGATTCCATTTGATAGAGAGAAGCTTTGTATTCTCCACTTCCAGTGTAACTAGCAGAGTGCCAGACTCAGTGCTCCAACACCGAATTAACCAAATACACAAAAAAAGACTTCTACTGTGTTTTCCACATTTCACTAGTGCAGTCAGAACAATCTTACTCTACACCTCAGAGTTTCTCCTAAGGCCTTCAGGGATATATTTTGGCAACAGAGTAGGTTATCAGAAACACTTGGCATCTAACAGAAAACTATAAACACCCCAGTGCCTACTACAGAACTACTCATTTTCCAGGGGATGTGGTGGCTGCTCCAACCCTGGTGGTGTTCAGCCCACGCTGGATGAGCCTTGAGCAACCTGACCTAGTGAGGGCAGGGGTTGGGACTAGAGGATCTGTGAGGTCCATTCCCACCCCTAAATTCTATGATTCTATGAAATTCTATCATTCTATTCAGAGCTTTTAGATAGAAATGATTAAATCAATACAAAGCTTTGAAATATTCAAATGAATCATCACAAATAAGTGCAATGTAATTCATCTTTGGAACATTATAAAAGTCTTCTTTTAAAGGAAAAGAAAAGTCTAAATGAATCACCCCTCAGGTAAAGTAGATCAGATCTTACCAAGATTTCTTATCAAAATACTAAAAATATACAGTAAGGCAGTATTACCAGTAACTTACTTCCAGCTCAAGGTCTGATAAATTAATTTCCTTTGAAATCTAAAACCAAAAGACAATTGTGTTACTAATAATCCTCTTACAGAGTGTTTCCAAGTAATGATGTTCAGTTAAAGATTTTTAAAGCAAGACTCACTGCTACCACAACCTGTAGGCCCAGAAGGGTTTTCCTGAACTCTGATGTTCAGTTACCAAGCTGCAAAGGCATTTACACCTTATCTTCTCACACCAAATATTCCGTAGTCATCATCACTCAGTACAGATACAGTGATGATACCTCACCCCCAGCTTCACATGTTCCACTATCTCTATATTCAATTTTTATCTACTTCTTAAATTGCCATACTTCAAACATCTACACTCCAAAGCTAAACAGAATTTTGGGCAGGAGACCTACTAAAACAAGTCACAGCCTGTCAAAGCTGTGAACAGCCAAAAGCCCAATAAATTTGAAAGGTTTGTTTAGAAAATGCACTCCAAGGCTTCCTCAGCATCCAAAATTTAGTCAAATGTAGATTTTGCTACAGTCAACCCAAGTAAAGATATTTTTCTTCCTTGCCACTCCCCTATTTCTGTCTGACCCAAAAAAGAGAAATTTTTACAGGACAGCAATTTCAGGCACTGACCCTGTACAAGGCTCCAGTTCCAAACTTTCACTTTCTTCATTCTTTAGTAAGTCTTCTATCTGTTCCCTGGAAGAAACAGGTTATTTGCTTCTTTACCTACTGTTTTAATTTTTGGAAGTTTACGGCTCTTCCCAAAAGACAAGGAACACTTCATAACAAAAGAGCAGCATTTTACAACCAGTGAACTAAAAAAAAAATGGATTCAACATACGAAAATAGTAAGGTTCACATTTTACTTTCAACATCAGAGGATATGAAGCAATTTTACTCACACTACTTTCTCAATAAATTTTTTCTGATCTTCAGGAATTGTTACAGGACACTTGGTGGAATTGGGAGACATGAATGACAGAGATCCTGCACCATTGGCTTGAGAACGTTTCTCATCGTACTGTTCCCTCAGCTGCCTTTCTTCTTCCTGGTTTAAATATGGAATTCCTAACAAAACCAACAAAAACCAGAAGCTTATCAGAACTGGAGACAAATTAGGGAGAGAGCAAATTGCTGTGCAGGGATTTAGCAAAGCATTTGCCACTGTTCCAGCCCTGATGGCTGAACACAAACCTTCCCTTTCAGCCATTTGGTGTAGATGCCACTAGCTGTGTGTGTCTGTACAGGCTTCCTTCTAGCAGCTGGTGCCACTGCACTCTGGAGAGCTACATGGATCATCTGCACGAGGCATGAGCTTGAGGACTGCAGAGCTCTAGATCTCAGTCACAAAAATATTTAGCATTCCTCTCCCTTGCTCTCTGCATCACTTGATTAACAGAGTGCAGCAGCTCCCTAATTTCCTATTACACAGGGGAAATTACTACTACTACTGGTTACTCTCTCCATTCAGCTTCTGCCACTATACAAAAATAAACAGCCAAGCACTCATGTCATTCTATTCTGTTCAACAAGGAATTCCTGGAAAGGGAGTTAGTGTCAGCACAACAGCAGATTGGATAAGAATAACTCAAGAACTTCACTAACTATTAAGAGGATCATGAATTCCAGCCCTTTGTGCAGAAAATGATGAAAGATGTTATCATAAATTTTGAAGGCACTGAAAGAAATTTTTTAAAAAACAAAAAAACCCAAACCAACTCACCGTTGCGAAAAACCTTATTAAAATCAAATCCTTGGTTTGCTAAAAAATCTATGCTTGAACTCTGCAACAAAAGAAAAGGCTTTAGAATTGGCAAAAGCACTTGTGGCATAAAAGAGCAGTTCAGTTATTTTCAGGTTTTTTTAAGTAATTACACGAAGTCCAAAGTCAAGAGCAATCAAGTCTGTGACCCTAAAGAAGCCACTAAGAGTTTAGGCTATGCTAGTTTTATTTATTTTCAACCTCTGTAAAGTACAAGAACAATAAATACACTAAAGGATAAAGATGAAAGAACAAGTTATGTGCAGAGACAAAACTCAAGAAAGCAAAATGTAGTTTAGGAGAACAAATTCAAGACCAGAAAAATGGTGGCAATAGCCTGGAAAGCAATGAAAGTGAGATAAAGAGATGAGAATAACGCATCAAACACAAAAACCAAGGGAACAGGAAAGTTCAGAGAGAAAGGGAAAACCAACCAGAATCATCCTGCTACATTTGGAACATTATCTCCAATTCCAGAAACCACACAATGTAATAGGTGACAAGACTGAAAAACTCAAGTTAAAGATGTTCCCTTAAAGCTCACTTTTAAGGACTGCTCTTAACTGATATTTAATCCTTTTATAAGGAAAAAACCAAACCCCAGAAACTCACATTCTTCTATATTTTAACTTAGCTACAGGTATACCCTAACCAAACAAAAGCAAACTTGTTTTTCTACTCACCTGACAGACAAACTTGACATCAGGTGAACTTCTGTTAAAGGGTTTTGGAAAAATATAGAAATTGAATGACTTCATTATATACCTGTGGAAAAGAGGAGTTGTGTGTCAATGCAGCTCATCAGTGTTACTTTAGAAAATCCTCAGTTAAGCAAAGAAGGATAAGAGAATAACATACTTTTCTTCTGTGTGATCGTATTTAAAAGTGCAAAGGCCAAACTGAAAAAGCAAAAAGTCCATGGAATGCTGGAAAGGAAAGGAAAACTTGGCATGAGAATGAAACTTGTACACCTTTAAAGATTACCAGGCTGCACCCACATATGATTTCTCTCCATTTCAAAATCAAGTAAACTGAATCTCCTTAACCAACCTTTGCTTTGGTGGCAATTTTAAAGTAAATAGACTTTTTTCACCTAGTTTTCACCCCCATTTAATCACCTTCCTATTGCCCAAAGGTGATTTGCAGTATGCACTTCTACTACATAACCAGACAAGAACTGAGGGAAGTCCCATCTCTCTCTCCACCTGTTGCTCACACACACCTAACACACTCAATTTCCTTCTCACTGTTCATTCCCACAGTGAGAAGAGGCAGTGAGGGACAGGGGCTGGTCACAGTTTTCAAATATATTAATAATACATTCAATATTCTGCTAATCCACATGCCTAACAGTGGATACCATGACAGATGTACTAGCACAGTCACCAGGCACTTTACCATCATGGTCTCTAGCATTTCACAATTGTTGGATCAACACTGGAAAGGTTTTTAACACTACTGCAAGTATATGAGAAATTAAACAAGTACTGAAAGACTTTCTCCTCCTGAGAGCCAAACTCCTATTTTAAACACAAAGAACACAAAACAGTATTCAATTCTCTAACAGGGAAAAAATAATGGGTGACAACAGGGCATTGAAAATTAGTGCTCTTCACTTGAACATTAAGGTCAAAAATACCAATGAATCGAATTATTAGCTGTTAAAGTGTTAAGAAGGTGACAACAAAGAATTTGGGCCTGGCTTCTGCTACACCAGACCTCTGAAAATGATTAAGAGAGACTGTGCCTGCAGAGCCTGATTGTCAGCTACTCTGAAGCTCATAGTCAAGGAGAGGTAGTTTGGGAAGGACCCTAGTCCTGGTGGAGTTTCTCTGTCACTGAATTTCTCTTATCCCATCCCCCTTTGAACTGATTGATTTTAACACTCTCAACAACCTTTAACAAACTCTACTCACTCTTGTATGAGGAATCATCTCTGTCTGCCTGTTCTGATCACGACTTCTGCAAGCTTAATGCAACACTCCCCAATTCTTGTGCCAGCAGGCAGCAAAACAAGCAAACCCCATCTGCTCTGTGCAACTGTTTTAGACCTGAGCCACATTTCCCTAGGTTGTCTCCACTATGAGCTAAGGAGTTCTAACCTTTTCCCAGCACCTTCGTTTTAGTCGATGTAAACACTTTACCTTCTTAAGTTTCTGGTACCTTTCTTCTGGAGTGTCAAATCCATTGGTTAATGCACTAACAGAAGGCCCATCACTGATTCCTGAAAAAGTACAACATATTTGGCTTTGGATAAGCTTTTCAAAATTGGCCACAGCAAAGAAATGAAACAATTGGCAATTTAAGAAAAATGCTTTCACCTAAAAGTACATATTAGAATTGCTTCAGTTGAGCCTAAAAGCCACAGATTTTAATGGCAGTGTTGTAGCAGCAAAGCTCTTCTGCAGAAGTTCTGTCATTCTGGTTCCTACTCAGCATGTCAGTAGCATGCAAAGACCTACCAGTAAGTAACATAATGTAGATGGGATTTACAACACAATGCAGGATCAAAGCCAAACTAAAAATGGGAGGATTGTTGTCCAGAATTTCATTGAACAACTCAGTCACCTTACACAATACATAACAACAACTGTATTCCCCAAGCACCACATCCAACAAAACCTTGACCACACTTAGGTTCCACAGATGACTGAACTCTATTCCCAACCCAAACTGCCCATTAAACCATCTCTCTGATGCACATACCCTTAGGGTATTCCAAACATTTTCCCATCCTGACACTTCCAGGGCCTGCCTTATTTATCCCATGGATTTCATGACATAGATAATACCTTTTTTTTCCCTCATCTGCAGCTGATCATCAGTTATCATACTGAGGTGTGTATGGGGATGGAGTAGAAGCAGCAAGAGCACGACAGGTACCTGACCAAGCCTTGCTGCTGCACCTGTAACCAGTGGTTTAACCACTCTGTGGTAGCTTTAGCTTCACCTTTTCCAGGTGAACACTGAGCCACATTACACGAGCCCCGAACACCCCCAGGTATCGCCACCCCCTCCCACCCCCAAAC